TGTGTGGCCACCACCCCACCAATCAACTCGTCTCAGCTAGGTGGACAGCCCACCTGCTATCACCCCCTACTACTTTACTTCTCGTTTCTATGCTTTCCTTCTCACCCTCCTCTCTTCTCCCAGGGCAAAGTCATTTGCCACTTTACTTCATCATTATCATCATCATCATCATCATCATCATCGTGAGGGCAGACAACACCACGCTCTTAAGCAGAGAAGACCTCCTCTAAAGAAGCTCCTCCACAGCAACTCCATCAACTTCCCAGCACCTGACTGCTCTGTACACTCACGCGTCATAGTTTCGATGCACCCTCAACCCCTACTCCTGGCTCGAGGGAAGTCGTAGTGATGTTAAGTATAGTAATGATAAATAAAGTGTTGTGAAGTCACTAAAATCCTGTATCGTGCATATATTCTCTCAAATATTACATCATGAACTGCTATTCGTACAATCCAGCGAAGCTTCGAGTTACCACATTGCACCACTGAGCGATGGGTGGGGGGAAATGGGAGGGGGGAGGAACGTTCAGTATGAAGCCAAGGTGGACGGAAATAAAGTCCACAGGGAAAAAAGTCACATGACTTGTACACATTGACAACACAATATATATATGTGATGGCATTGCACGTAGGTTAGGTTAGGTTAGGTTTTTCCGTGCCTTTTTATCTGTGACCTTCTTTCCTGAATTCGAAGCCAAGGCTACGACTTCCATCGAGTCAGGGGTAGTGGTAGAGGGTGCATCAAAACTATGGCGCGAGTGTACATATAATATATATAAAGGAAACGCCATTGTGAGTTTCCTTTCTCACCTCCATCCTTAGTGCGAGATCTCCTACATGTACGTATGTATGTGAGCCTAGCAAAGAGAAATTAGGCTATTGGCCACATACACTACGCTACAATATCATACTCTACAAAATCAGCCAAGATCTAATGACACTTATAATTGTGATGAGTGCGTGAAACATCGTTTGTGCACGCTCTGAGTGGAATGCATAGTGTTGAAAATTCTGGAAAATACGACCAGCGTGTGGAAAAGGGAGGGGCTGAGCTGAATTACAGAGCACCTGAGTTCAGACCCCGAGCTACGTCAAGTGAAGTGGTGAACTTTCCAAGAGAGCCAGTGAAGAAGAAACCACAGGGATTCGATGGCAAGGTCTCTTGGGAAGCATACCAACCACAGTTTGAGTTAATAGCTAAACAAAACGGATGGGACGACGAGAAGTGTGCAGTGCAATGTGCCGCGAGCCTTAAGGGCGCGGCTATGGAGGCTCTCAGCCAATTGACGGGAGAAGAGCGAGGCAGTTGCATGCCACTGGTGTAGGTATTGGAACGAAGGTGTGGAACCAAGCACCAAAATGAGGTTTACAGGGATAGATTCTGCACTCGTACCCGTAATTGAGGTGAAACACTGTAACAGCTTGCTAAAGATCTGGAAATTATGGCTCATAGGGCGTACCCTGGAGCATCACCTGATCTGTTAGCCGTGTTGTTGAGGGATCAGTTTGTGAACGCATTACATTGGACAGCACGCAGCTCAAGATTCAGGTGAAGCAGTCCCAACCTTTAACTTTACAGGAAGCTTTGGCTAGAGCTCTGGAGTTTGAATCTTATGTGAGGTCAAGTTTACCAAGCTTCAGGCCTGAGTCTAGCTCTGGGTTTAAAGCACAAAATGATCAAGTACAAGAGGCGGAGCGATTTAAAGGAACCTGCTGGTATTGTGAGAAGATTGCGCACAAACAGGAGGACTGTTACAAGCAGAAATGAGAGCGAGAGCTGGGCAATACAGAAAAGAACACGGAGATGTTGGACGTGTGGAGAAGATCCAAACTTTCAGACTAATTGCCCACAGAATTCCACGAGAGGGAAAGAAGAGCAGCCCACTGAGACGGGAAACTAGAGATGGCTGATGCAGAGGGGTAGAAGCTGGGAAGCGGCGAAAGGAGGGTCGAAACCATAATGAACATGACTAAAAAATAAATAAATTTGTGAGGGAACAAAACTGTATCTTATTTACTGTTAAAACAATATAAAATACGTAATATTTTCTAAGGCAGTGAGAACGTTTGCAAAGTTTAAAATCTTGATACACTGATGATATTACCCAGAGACCAGAGGTTACGGGAAATCACTTATAATTAATTAATGAGGAAATTACATATGTATTTTACCTATAAGCCTTCAGATCATTTCACCCTTATAGCTCAACATTGAAGAAAAAACGTTACGAGATTCGGTGATAAGTTACGTAACCTGAATGCAGACAGATTTAGTCAGTTTCGCACCACGCAGCCGGGGACTTGTATATCGGCCACATGCTTAAGATACTCTTGCTCACCTTAGCATTACTATACACTGTATAGTATACAGAACACTCGTACAGTGTTTGTTTTGAATAACGATTCTATTAAAATTTATATTTCCGTTAGTACGCTATCACACACCGTCGCTCGCCGCCTGTTGTTTACTGTAGGTGTAGTAAGACAATTATATAATTTCCTTGGTGACCAACTACATCCCGAGGCAGCCACCAGGCCCCAGCCTCCACAGGGCGAGCCGTGTAAATCGAATCACCACACGGGGTTTACAGAAACTGATAAAGCTATTTTTAAATTTACATATAGTATATCTTAAACTACAGTCGGTTGGCCATTATTGTAATTGCAAATTTGTAATCTGGTTATCCGCTGATGCTGAATTATTAAAATATCTGTAGTAATTCAGGAACAAATTTCAGGAATTCGGTTAAGTTCGTTCTCAAATTATTACAGATTCCCTACACGCTTCGGTACAGCGTCAATGAAAAACAGGATTGAGAAAGTGAATTGGCAAGAGCGGTAAATACAGTATATAAAATACCTAAATAATATGACTAGGCTTCTGTTTTTATTTCCGCTGTGGACGAACTTCGTCTGACTCTCCAGCCACCCTCATGACTCAACCACTAAAATGACGCCAACAAAAATTATTAAATTTATAGTAGTGCACTGTTCTTTCTTTTGATATCATAAATATTTTTTTCCCAAGCATTTGATGAGTATCGAACGAATTTGATATTCATTTCCGCCGGAAGTCATAAACAACTCTAAAACACATTCAAAGTCTTGAAACGGGAACTTGGACCCTTTTTTAGTCATGTCACGCACCGTCAACACGGGTGACAACTTCAAGCTCTCTATCGACTGGAGAAACGAGTTCACCCCAAATGACTTGAATAACCCTGCTACTCCTTTTTGTAGAAACTCAGAGATAATTTTTTTAGAGACCCGGCACCTTACAGAGGGGAGCAAACACCCAAGCCACTAGACCTCATCATAACAAACGAGGAGGGTATGGTGGCCAAACTGGAACACCTTGCCCCAGTTGGCACCAGTCACCATATAGAGTTGTCATTCAGATTTAACTGTTACCTAGTTCAAGTTAAGGCCAGGCCAAGGTGCAAATATTACAAGGGAAATTACAACGGGATGAGGGAAGATATGAGGGGTATCCACTGGCCTGACTCATTAAGGCACAAGAACGCAGACACTACGCTGAATATCATAACTAATAAAGTGACCCATTTGATCGATAAATATATACTCAAGACCAAACCCAGTGCCTCTAGGAATACGAGGGGATCCCTACACATGAACTATGAGGTGGTCGACGAAGTTAAGAAGAAAACCCAGAAATTCAAGCCGTAGGTTGGGTCAAACGATGAGCGAGGTCAAGTCAAACCCAAAGGCCTTTTACAGCTATGCAAAGTCGAAATTAAAAACGCAAGTAGGAGTATCAGACCTGAAGCTTGAAGATGGTAGTTACGCACATTCTGACCAGGATAAAGCTGAGGCATTGAACAGCTTCTTTTCCTCGGTGTTCACAAGAGAGGATGCGATTAACCTTCCTGCGTTTGAGGACAGACGGTTCGACACAGCACTGACCCACTTTGTGTTCACAGAAGAGGGTATTAGAAATAAACTGCCAAAGCTAAAGGTCCATAAGAGTCCTGGCCCTGACATGGAGCATCCCAGAGTGTTAAGAGAGTTGTGCAACGAGCTTGTCGAGCCCCTGAAGATACGGTTTTGTAAATGCCTGAATGAACAAAAGGTCTCTAGTGATTGGAAAGTGGCTTATGTGAGTCCTATCTTCAAGAAGGGCGATCGTCACTCCACGAACAACAATAGACCGGTGAGCCTGACCAGCATAATATGTAAAGTACTTGAGAGTATTATCAGAGATGCCGCGATGGAACATCTACTACGAAACAACCTTGTAAAGGATTGCCAACACGGTTTTATGCCGGGGCGCTCCTGCTTAACACAATTGCTCAATGTATTGGATATTTGGACCCATATTCTGGAACGGGGTGGTAATATAGACAATATATCCCTAGATTTTGCCAAGGCTTTCGACAGCGTACCCCATGAAAGGCTGAAAATCAAACTAGAAGGGTACGGAATTCGGGGAAATGTACTAGCGTGGATAGAAGACTTTCTACATGATCACAAGCAGTGTGTGGTGATTAATGGCACGAAATCATCATCTGTACCTGTCACAAGTGGGGTACCACAGGGCAGTGTATTGGGCCCGCTGTTGTTTGTTTGTTTCATAATGACATGCATGACGTTGTACACTCCTCCATACAAATGTTTGCCGATGACGCCAAGGTATAAGTAGCATATCTTAGACCCTGTTGCCATGCATCACCAAAATTGTGACCAAGTCCCAGGTTGCTGATCTGACTTTCTGCCTCATTTACACACAATTGCAGGGTCTCAATTGTTTCTCTTACTATTGACAACACAACATACATACTGTATATTGTTTCTCACTTTTGATCTTTTTTATTTTTTTTTATTTCTTTATTTTTATTATTATTATTATTATTATTATTATTATTATTATTATTATTATTATTACATTTTCGCCCTCCAGTGACCTGTGTCCGGGTGGGGTATTCCCCGAAAAAAAAAAAGCAGCACAGTACAGTACACCTTCTACGCCAGCAATCACTAACCTTCTAAAAGTTGACAAAGAATTTGTTTTCTGAGTAGCGATGATTTGTTTCGGTAACCGAACCTCTGCCATGCATCCACCTTTAAAGCAGTTTTAATTTTTCAGTTCCCTGTGGGTTTACACTACCACGAGTTTTTTCCTACTGTCCTTTAAACGTGTGAGAGACTCTTCTGTTGTGTTTACGCTGCCGGAACTCCCTGGAAACGTTTTCGTACCGCATAGTTTAAAGCATAAAAGTATTACAAACCGTAATTATTTCCTGGTACCAAAAGGAGTTTACAGTATGTATTATAACTTTTCCATTGTCCCTTCATTGAAAATAAAGATTCATAAATATCATTAAGTTCATTCAGTAGAGATAACTTTGCCTCAGTTGAGAAACGACGCATGACGTCACAACTACCAATAACCCCTCATTAATATAAAAAGATAATAATTCTCTGTGATACTTTACAGTGATACAATCTTGTTACCCAGTATAATAAGCGTAAAGTGTGAACTGTTCCGTGTCCAGGCAAGACTTACTGTCCGACATTAGTGTTTAAACTTAAGTGACAGTACTGTATACATTTCTCAATACGCCTGCGTTATCCCATAATATTTATATATTACCGTAGCTGAAAATTAATTATACAATTACGATTCTCATTAATTTTAGCCAACACATTAAGTTAATAGATGAACCATGCCCACATCCTCAAATAGGCTTCCATAAATCGTTCTCTCATAAGTTTGATTTCAAGAATACAAGCGAATGACTCACTTAAGCTACATCACTGAAACAAGTGCTTAAAATGGCTTAAAATTTCACAGATTCATTGTATTTTTTTTGTAGCTTCCACTTAAGAAAAAACTTAACCTACGAACTCTCACAGATGAAAGACCCTCCCAGCACCCAGATTCCTGTAGCGTCGTACAGTTGAAAATGTTCAAAGGAGGGCCACCAGACTGCTGCCTGCACTTCGGCACCTCAGCTTCCCTGAGAGATTGGAGCGCCTGAACTTGCCTAGCTTATACTACAGACGGGGAAGGGGGCAAGGGGGGACCTAGTTAAAGTGTATAAGTATCTCAAGGGGCACTACTCAGTCGAGTGTCCTTACTTGGAGCTGGCGGACGCTCGCCCCACAAGGGGTCACAGCTCAAGATTGAAGGAGCCGCAAGTCCAGAAAACTGTGAGGGCAAACTTTTTCGGAGTGAGGGTTGTAAACTCTTGGAACAATCTACCAGTGTTGTGACGGCACCGAGTGTGAGCTCTTTCAAGACAAGACTTGACCAACACTGGAGCGGGTTCAGGTACATTCAGGAGCCGGTGCTTACCCAGTATTTGCCAACAGTGCGTGACAGAGACGTGGCCGATCGCCCGGGCGGCTAGCGAGCCGATCTTTTGGTGAAGAGGATAAAAGCAATACGTACTCCTGAGTTCATGTAGATTAGGAACCTCAGCTTGTATTGAATTAAATTGAAACAGTTTATTTAGCCAGAAAAACACAGATACAGAGTGGATAATAATAACAATATTAACATGGCTGAGCCAGTTGAGAACCTGAGCTCTCTTTTAGGCACCTGATTAAAACAATTAATGCTAACCTAACCTAACCTAACCTAACCTTGCTACTCATTTAACATTATGTGAAATAAACGGGGGTTCCTAAGCTTCATAAGATCCTCGTTAAATAAGAAAGTCTCAGTTTGATTTTAATAATGCGTCTTAACTAGTTGTTTTCGGGGGGGGGGCGTTAGTATCTTACGCCAGGCAGTTACGTTTATTTATCGTACTAACATTGATAACCCCTGACCTGACCTGACCTTCATGAGCGGTACCGCTCTCGCCTCGCAAGCGAGATGTCACAGGTTCGATTACCGGGCCGGTGGAAAAGTTGTTTGGACATACTTCCTAGCCCTCATTGGTCCCTGTTCAACGAGCAGTAATGTAGGTACAGTCACCCAAAAAAGTCCTGTCGTGAACCATGAACCCCGAGATTCAGACTCTTGAATCCGAAGCATTTATGGACAGAATAATGTATCAGTGTCTACTGCTTCGGGTTCACGAGTCTGAATCGTGGTTCGCGACAGGACTTTTTTGGGCGACTGTACCTGCTGTAAATCGAAAGATGCGAATTCGTATTCAGGGAAAGTTGCTGGAGCTTCCAATAACTTGATGACAAAAAAGATTGACTCATCAGGCTTCTACGCCCTCAACCCTTCAAGCTTATACGCCCTTAACTCACGAGACATAAAGACAAGCTTGAACTTAGCATGCTTCCCTGTTGGGCGCTGTAAACGTTTCTGCGTTTCACCTTACACAAGGATGTAGGGGAGTGCCCAATAAAAAAAAAAAGTTTTGTTATATGCTAAGTATTTTATTTCAAGTTTTTTAAATCTACAGACATATATAAGTAAAGACACACCTTAACTCTACTGCTTAATTAAGTACACACACACACACACACACACACACACACTGGTAGTAAATTACGTACATTACTTAATTCTATCCCCATCACGCACTGCCACATAAGTCTGTTCATAATGTCTCTTTTTGGATCACCTAAAGATTCGACCCAAGCTTATTTCATCTACCTAACGCTACCTGGAGGGTTAGGTTAGGTTAGCGCTTGGGTGGTTAATCTTCTGGTGAATTTTAAGCTTGGGGAGGGGGGAGCAAATTTATATTTAAAGGCTATTTTATTTATATGTACAACACTCTGCATAGTTTGGAGTAAGTTGATTGGACAAGCTTGGACAGATTCAGAAATAATCCAATTGAATATACGAGAGGTAGCCTCCAGTTCTCCCTTTACCTCTCGTATACCCAATTGGATTATTTCTGAATCTGTCCAAGCTTGTCCAATCAACTTACTCCAAACTATGCAGTGTGTTGTACATATAAATAAAATAGCCTACAGAGTGTCCTACATGTTAAGAGTTGCCTGTTATTAATTGCTTACAGTATTACAAGACACAAACATTCTTTCCTGTATGTCTTTCAAGTCCACTACGGTCACCTCTGTTTCTCTGGGACGTTAAGCTACAACAACTGTAGGGTGTTCGTAATTATATACACTATACTAATTTGTTTAGACAATCAAATCTATTAGTCGGGCGGCATAACCTCACTATTTTAACCAATTGTGCATTGTGTGATAAAAACACTAAATTTGGCACACATGTTGACTTATATATAGTGACTAGATCTGATATGGTGCCTCCGCAGATTTAGCTGCTGACGGTCGTTGAAGCCATTATCCAAAAGGGCCACCAACAATTATTTATATTTTACTTAATTGCCTTGCTGGGTGTGACTGTATCTTGGCAGTGGAGTTTAATTCACTGCGAAAGAACTAAAACTACAAAGTGAATTATTTTATTATATTCGTATAAAAATAATAGAGTAATTAGTCTAATTAAACAGTATGTTACCCGCCTGATTGCTACAATTTATGCACTAAAGTTGTTGTTGTTGTCTGTGGTGGTGGTCATTACTAAAATGACGGGACTGGCCCCATGGTCCCATGTCCTAGACCACACTAACTATGCAAGTTGGGTCCCTGTTCACCTAGGGAACATGGCAGAACTTAAAAAAAAGCACCCAGATGTAGCCAGAGAGTTCAATGCAGGCAACTTCATGGTGCAGAAGACAAGGAAGGTATTCTCACCAATCCCGATTGATCAGGCTCAAGAACAGAACAACGCCTGCATCAAAGGAGCTGTGGGCCTGACAAACAATCCCAGTGCCCTGCGGCGTTGGATGGTTTCGGGTCCAGAAGTTGCGAGAGTGATAGAAGAGTTCAAAGATGAGCGCCAGTACTGGAGCTTTAAGAGACACTCGCCATCATGACCAGATTCCCAGTGTGCAAACTTCATTCATCAAAGATGTTCACTCCCTTGTCAGTGTGATAGTAACCCTTTTGAGGAGGAAAGCCTGGATCTGGTGGCCCTTTACACCAAGAAGATTGCCAGTCTTTCTGCAGCTGAGACTGTCAGAAATGGGAAGAGCATTGGCCAAGACCAGTTCCAGACCTTCACCAGAGACGTCTGATGGAAGGAACCAAGCCTGTCGATGCTATTCTTCACCGAAACAAGCTGAAGGTGTTCAGTGCTTCCATCTCAAGTAAGGGAAGCAAAGGAAAGGAGCAGCTGGCCTCTCTTAAGCATGATGTGAGCCTTTTCTCGCGGCTGTATATTGGCTGCCAGACAAGGGATGGAAACCTTCAAGAATTCTTTCGTCACGAAAATCAAGCATGTCTTCCTGCACTCGCTGATGGAGGTAGCATCCGTCTATGTACGAAGAGTGACCTCCTTGCATGCTTAGGGGATCTCTCTGTTGCCCACACAGAAGCTCCTCCTGCCGCCAGTGTAGTTCATGATGGAGCAGCTGTTCTCCAGATGCTCAAACCAGCAGCAGCCAAGAACTTTGAGGAATATGCTCAGGAGGTCTTCATCCCATACATGTAAAGAAAGGCTTCAAACTGCGTCACGGCTTGACCTGGTGTTTGACAGGTATGTTGCTGATTCACTGAAATGTACAACGAGCGCAAAACGTGGACAAGGAGTCCGCAAACGTGTGGTGGGTTCAGCTACCATACCAGGAAACTGGCAGAACTTCCTCAGGGTGGACAGCAACAAGACGGAGTTGTTCAGGTTCCTGTCAGACGCCCTCCTCACGTGGTTTGACAAGGAAGACAGGCAGCTTGTCATCACCGATGGACAGGCAGTCCTTAGCAAGCCAGAGCTCACTGAGCTGGCATCGATCGCCCCATGCAATCACGAAGGAGCAGACAGTCGCTTGTTGTTGCATGCATCCCATGCTGCCCAGCATGGCCACCATAAGATACTGATCCGGACTGTGGACACAGATGTCGTGGTTTTGGTTGTCTCAGTGGTCCAAGGGGTGCACCAAGAAGATGAACTGTGGTTGGTATTTGGCACTGGCAAGAGTTTCCGCTATCTCGCAGCCCACGAAATGGCAGCATGTCTGGGACCACAGAAGGCACGGGCATTGCCTATGTTCCATGCCCTGACAGGGTGCGACACCCAGATCTGACAGAGGCACTGCTGAAGCTTTCTGCTGCTTTAAAAGTCATACCAGAGGATGTCATGCACATCATCGAGAGGTTCGTTATCCTCCTGTATGACAGAACCAACTCATGCATGAACATCAACAAGGCGCGAAGGACGCTATTCGCCAAAAAGAGCAACGTGCAGCCGATCCCACCAACAAAGGCAGCCTTAGAGGAGCATGTCAAAAGAGCAGCCAACCAGGGGGGGTGTCATATCTGGGGCCAAACCCTGGTACCATCACCACAGCTGGGGCTGGACGAAGAATGAGAAGGTTTGTACACGCTGTTTTGGAAGACACTACCTGAGGCTGCCCACAACTGTTATGAGCTAGTCTCGTGCAGATGCAAGGAGGGATGTGTGAAGGGCTGCAAATGCAAAAAGGCTGCACTTGAATGCACAGTACTGTGTGTGTGTGTGTGTGTGTGTGTGTGAAGGACTGTGCTCCCACCATTGACTTCCCAGATTGGTGAATACTGTTCCACAACTCGCTGTACTTGCAAATTTACATACTGTATTCACCAATGACGTAATAAAACCATGTTTAATTTTGGTTTATCTCCTTTCTCCTTGTCTTTTAGCACCTTAGAATGTTAACTGTGACTATTTAAGTCCCTCAATATGTCTTGAAGTGACTTTTCTGGATGCCACCATAGTCTTCTGACAGCCATTTTGGAAAATGCCTGCCACGGCCGTCGGGGGTAAAATATTCAGTGGCACCATATCCAGATTTGTTCATTATCTAAAAGTCAATAAGTGTGCCAAATTTGGTA